GCTTCCAATCCCCTTTAAAATGTATATAGGTATTATATTATATACGCTATCATACGATAAACATTCCGAGTGCAATGTGAAAACGTAATTATAAGTCTAATTTTACGCACTGTTCAGAAAAACGCTTGTTAAAATATCACATAATATTACGACTGCGTCTGTTTTCAACAACATCTCAGCTGCAATCGACGGTTATATTTAATATGATGTTGAACCTCGTACGACATAGCTATATATATATATATATAATGATTATTGCGGCACGCCAGGGTTTTTTTAATGATTTTTTTCTGACTGCACAAACTTGTTCCCACTCTTGGGTTATAGTAGGGAATTTGTCTATGCAGATGTTACGTCCCAACTGAGGTCGATATATACATCAACGCAGGAATGAAATACTGGTGTACTTGGTTATGATGAGTGTTTATTTAAGTACAAAATTACAATGTATTTAAGCTATGGTGGAGATTGTGAGCGGTGTTACGACCTGACTCTGAACTGATACTAAGACCGTGAGTGGTTTTACGACCTACCTCCAAATGTCTTGAGTATCCCTAACCGTCTGCCGAGCTCTTGTCCCGGGCTGGTATTTAAATGTTTGAGTCAAATTCGGTCATGAGACTGCGTCCGGGTTCTCGTACTTGGTATGCTGGTCGACTCGTAATCCTTCTTATGAGTGTTTGAACTTTCCTAGAGATTATACTTTACAGTGTCCCTAGCGTGTTATAATATACTAATTGCCTTATTAATTATATCGTCGAATACTATTAGAAACGTGCGCTACGTCGTACATTGTTATTACCTAATTACTAAATACGTAGGTACGTAACACAGACCAAACCCAACGGACTATTATCCTTTGAACTATCAGGAATGGCTCCAGAGGGGCCCTAGCCCCCCTCCTCCCAAAGCTATATTTCTAAAATATTTTATTATGTTAAAAACAAAATTACAAAAAAAAATCATCAACATTATCTGAAAATTATGACTTCGTCGCCCCCTAATCATGTCTCTGGAGTTGTCCCTGTGAACTGTGCCGGCTATACCTAGTACCTACTAACCTACTGTCTACTGTACTATCTACATTTTTTACTTTCATAAGACTGCATATAGGTACTCAGAAATAATATGTAAAAACATAAAAATCCCGACTCTCTCATGATATACCAAATAAATCATTTTATACTAACGCACTATTTTTAGTGAAAATTTGTAAATAATAATTTAAATTTTGTTTGTAAATATATAAGTAATAATACTTACTAAGTAATATTTACTTGGAATAGGTAATTTGTAATAATGATAGTTTATAAAAATAAAAACAATCAATTGACTAGGTAGGTACCTATAACTATCTATATTATATTCTATACTATTATATATGGTAAGGGTTTTCTTGGACCGCGCTAACCGAGAAAACTACTGAACCAATTTGGCTGAAATTTTTTACTGTTATACTTGACCGTCTGCTGGAGGTCATAGTACCACTTTTGTTTAGAAAAATCCACCAGAAAAGTAGGAAATATGGATGTCAAAAATACAAAAGTAGCGCAAACTGTCCAGAAAAAAATAAACTAATTAATAAAAAATAAAGTTTATTGTTGCAGATTAAAATAATAATAGTGTATTATAATATATTGGTTGCTATGTTATCTATACTATTATATAAAATTGGAAATGTTTTCTTCGACCGCGCTAGCCCGCGAGAAAACTACTGAACCGACTTGGCTGATTTCTTTTTTTGTTGTGCTCGTAATTGTCAGGACAAGTTCTTATGAAAGAAAATTGTAGGAAAAACCACCAGAAAAGTAGGAAATAGGGATGTCAAAAATACTAGAGTGGCGTGATCTGCCCAGAAAAAAATAAACTAAATAATAAAAAAATTAGTT